TCTGTCGTGCCGCCGCTTGTTTTTTTGGTGCATTGGCTTGTGGTTGCCTTAGAATGGAAGAGCTCGATGTTGGATTGATTGGTGTTGCTGCTGTGGTTGGTTGATGCTGTATTTCGTGTTGGGCATCACGCTCTATGTACGCAGGATGCAATATCAAGTAGAGGTCGGTGCGCGTATCAACTGCTTGTCGTGCACCTTGCGGCTGTGAAAGGTGCAAGGCCCACTATGACGAGCGACAAATACAAATCTCACCACCTTATTTCCTTACCGCGGCCCCGTGTGCCGGTCTTGCGCTCTAAGCGGGCTGCAACACACAAACACAACGGTGCACGTAACAACTCCTTTGTCGCGCAGCTTACGGCCGTGCGAGCGAGGAACAACGTGATGAGCAACAGATCTTACCATCGTTTTTCCTTGCCGCCCCCCCGCACACCGGTTGTCCTAACCACCCCCCCCTCTCTGCTGCTTTCGCGGACGCGGACCCCCTGTTCTGGTTGGAACCGCACCCTGCTGTGCCCCCGATACTGCTGCAACCGTCTACCGTTCAGGGACGGCACGATGACGCGATCGCCGGCTACCACAAGGCCTTGGGGCTCAAGCCTGATGACCCCTTCGCCGCAGAAATGCTCTACGGAGCTCTACTGGTGCCCGTGGTCTTCTTTTTTTGGCACTTTTTTTTGGTTTTGTTCCACATGCCGCAGGGGTTGGTGCGAAACCCTTTTTTTGTTTTGTTAGTTTCTTTTCCACAGGCCCCGTTGTTGTTACGTCCTTAAAACGTATCGGCTAGAAATAGCGCGCTTGTCTGGGTGCACCCACGCCCATTCCGCCACCTTGAGCTCGGCGGCTGCTGTCGTTGCGTCGTTCCTCCTCATGCCTACCGGACTGCCGTTCTTTGAGCGCCGCAGCGCAATTAGTTCCCGATGGATGGGGAGATATTGGTGAACGGTTGTCGTTGGCTTCTTTCGCCCACAAAACTCGCCGATTCTTGTTCTTCTTTTCTGCTGCTCGCTCTGTCCGAGAATCCGAGCGTCCACTTTCTTTCCGACACGCATGCACAAACAGCCGCGTTTTGTGTTTCTTTGTTTCACTCACTGCACGCACCGCTTCTTTAATGTGCTTTGCTCTTGCTGCTCGCTGTTCTGGCTCCAGGAATCCTTCTCCACGAACGAGCCGTGTGCGGGCCTGGAAGAGCTCTTCTCTAAGACTAGCCTCGACGCGAACGGCAACATCGTCGAAGACAACAGCAGCGGCGATCGTGGTCAGCATCAACAGTCTCGAGGCGGCGGTGTTTTACCCGGGGACGACGGGGCTCAGTTCACCCCGGGTTTGTCGCCGCGATCGGGCCGCAACGGCGACGGGGACAGCAGCAGCGTGGGGACCCCGTACGGCGGTAGCGGCAGGGGGGGCGAGGGGGGGGACCGGTCGTTCAGCTTCGGCGCAGAGACCCCCCGCACCCCTCGAGATAGCGGTGCCGTCGCCGCCGCTGCCCAAAGCCCGCTGCTGGCAGAGAGCAGCAGCTCGAGGATGATGATGGGGGGTTAGCGGCTGGACGGGGAGGAGAGTGGGGGAGGGGAGGCGCTGTTTTCTGCCCCCCACAGAGAGGGAGGCTCGGGGTTGATGATGGGCGGGGGCATCGACTTCAGCACGCCTGCCGCGGCGGGAACGCGACCACAGGCGGGGGCGGGGGCGGTGGGTGGTGGAGCGGTGCAGGAGGACATCATTTTTAACAGGTTGGGGGAAGGGGAGCTGTCTTCGTTCGACGCTGGCGGCTCGTCTTTCGGCGGGGGGGTTGCTTCCAGTAGATAGATTTAGGCGGCGGGATTGGTATTGGTTTTTTGCTGTCCCCTTGCCGTGGGTGTGGGGGGGCGGAGTTCCGGCGTGGAAGTGGTTAGTGAGTGCGTTGTGGTAGGAGAGGGGGGGTTCGTTGTAGACGGGTGGGGTGGGGGTTGGGGGCGCAATCAATCCTCGTTCGGTTGGACCTTTCGTCTTTTTTGTTTTCGCCCATGTTCTTGTCGGTGGGACGAAAAGATGGACGGCCGATGGCGGTCGACGGTGAAAAAACAAGCACGTCACACATTTTTCTCTAGAGCAAAGGGTTTCTTCTTTTGGGTGCTCCATGATACGAGAAGAGTTGCCCGTTTCGAGAGGAACGACAAACTGAAAACAAGACGTTTCAAGTTTCTTCGGCAAGTGCACTCGAGACACTCGTACCATGGGCGGCCGTCATGGACTTGGCCGCCCTCGAAAATGATCGGATGCTTTGGTCAAGTCGTCCGTAGTGCTTGTTGGAAGAGTGTCTTTGCCTTGTACGGCAGTAGTGCCGCCAAATCGCTTGAGAAGGCTGAGCACTGCCAGCTTGTACAGCGTGGTTCCACTGAAGCCTCACCGTCGTCCGGCCATGAACACGACCCGCGAGTCGTGCCCGTCTCGGATACGTAGGTGTAGACAAAATGCTTCAGCAAAGGACGGCGTTCAATCCCATCGATTTTTTTTCAAGATAGCATATCTATCGCACGCAGTACTTACCACGTACCGGTGAATTTCCATCAAAATTGCCTGCATTAACAGTAACACCGCGAAAGCGATCGCACACAACCTAGTCTTGCTAGACCAGACCGACCACCGGCCCAGCTCGATCTCTGCACAACCAAGAGGCCACCAATGCCCACAAAGGGGCCGAACATACGGTCTCGTTGACAGCTTTCTTCGCACAACTCGGTCCGCCATGTATTCGGAAAATACAGCCTTTACCTTTATTAGGTTCAGGTTCGGCCTAAGGTCACTCGTGGAAATAAACGGTCCACAGAAGTCTGCCGGTCGCCCCTGTGGATTCTAGGGGGCAAACCTCTCCCTCGCGAGTGAATAACTTTGCAACTCCGCGGTGCAAACGCGACTAATTTGTAGAACACACAAGAAAGAGGGAAGCGACCAACAAGACAGCCAACTAACCGCAGGGGGCAAGGTAGGACACAAAACACATCCGCGCAAAAAAAAAAAAAGCCGAACCTCTCCCTCGAGGAGAGTGAACAAAAATGCAACTCTGCGGTAGTGCGACAAAGAACACACCAGAAAGAGGGAACACGACTATCTAGACGGGTAAATCCCGCAGGGGGCAAGGTTGGACAAACACAAAAAGTGGCCGAACCTCTCCCTCGAGAGTGAACAAACTCCCAACTCATTCACTGGTGGACCGACAATTTCGTGACATCTTGTTTACGGCAAGACACAGGGAAACGACTACAAGAACAATTACATTAACAACTATTTGAGAAAGAAGGAACCGAACGGGTAAATACCGCAGGGGAAAAACAAAGGCGGGACAAAAAATACACCAAAGCACAGCCTCGCCGTGCAAAAAATAAAAAAAAAGGCTGCGAAGGTGATGTACAACAACTGGCGCCAACAAGCTACAAGCTAGCTAGATAGCTAGACAGACGCGAAGAAAACACACAAAGAACGAATCCGCAACAAGCAGTGCCCGTGTATTCCAAATGCATGCAAAGTGCCGGCGTGATTGACCGTGCAAAGTCCGGCAGAGGACGACGGGGGTACCATGTCCCGGCCCAAATCGAATGACCAAACACGGCAGACAAGAGACTTTCACTATCCTTTTAGCATCGTTCACTCGCAAAAAGAAAAGATGTTCCTCGCAAATAGCAAAAGAACAAAACCCGCGATGTTCCAAACATGCGATAGCTGGTGCAAAATACGACGCTATTGGTAACAAAAATGAAACGCCGGTGCAACAATCGACGCATAGCCCAAATGCAAAGGTCTTCATCTATTTCAAAGGAGCCGAAATCAATCCACCCACGTCCCTGCAGAATGTTGTTCCGGGGCCGGTCTCAGACGAGTTTTTCGGTCTTCGAATCGACGACAATGTCCCTTCTTTGTAGAAGCCGAAATGAAGCCATGGATAGTCAGTGCAGTCCTCAGTGTACCGACAAGTCTATCTACGTCCGCGCTGACTAGTTTTTGGTTTGATTTTTACTTTGGGCTCCCCAGGCGATAACACTCCTTCGTACATCCGACAACAAATAGCACCACATGACCCCGGCTGATACGCCAGGTACATACGCGGTAAGGCCTGTACACCGGCGCCCAATCAACACGACCAACGCACACACACACACACACACAGGGTCCCCGCCAGTTCATGGCATTGAGAGGTGTTTTTGATTCCAACCGCACTGAGACTGACGTATTTTCATTGGTCAGCCGGTTTCCGCGGCCGATGCTAATAACAAGGACAACACACGTACACGCACACACAGGTAGTAGCCTTGGTAGACGCGTGCGGTTTTCTTCTATTGCTGCTGTTTCTGCTTTGATCCGAAGTACAGTTTAGCCTCCCCCATGCTGCCCCCTCACGGGGTCCCAGTTCATGGCAGATAGAAGTGTTTTGTGTTTTCAACGGCACTAAGGCTGACGTCTTTTCATTGGTCAGCAGGTTAGCTCGGTCGATGCTAATGATAAACACACACACACACAAACAAAAAAAACGATCGACCTTCTCAAATTACGCCGGAAAAAAAACTGTGCTTCCACTGTTTGGCAACACATGCATGGGCACCAGGAAAAAAGCAACCAACGGCCGGGGTTAAAACGAGGCGGTGTGGCGTGAAATCCCAACAAACCACCTTCAGCGAGTTGAAACGACAGCAAGTCGCCGATTCCACAAACAAAAATACAAAACAAAACAACTCTTTTCTCTCGTCCACACACTATGCCACCGGTAAAACGTTGTCGAATAATGGAGAATACCTAATGCGAGACGCAAAGGGTGGAAAACATTGCCCGCCCAAGTTGAATGAGCCACATGGATGGCCTGGTCCCTCTGCCTACCACGTCATATCGGCGCTTGCAAAGTACCGCAGTCGTTAAACCTCAGAACGCCTTCCGCTAAACCTTGTAACCAACGCGTGCGATGTATTCTCCTTAAAACAATGTCTTCCTTCGGGGAAACCATGCCAGCCGACCCAACTTTTCCTACTTCCCTTGTGTTTATGTCACGTCANGGGGAAACCATGCCAGCCGACCCAACTTTTCCTACTTCCTTTGTGTTTATGTCACGTGATCAATTTACATAGTCATCGCCCGTAGCCCAAAAACAGTGACGAGGGCATGTATGTACTGCAAATTCGCTAACCCCGACGGTCACCTCACGCAACCCAGCACTGAATCGGTCTCATTAATAGCAAGATTCGAGAGGTCACTCGTACTTGCTCTTGCTTGCGCGCCGTGGACCCAGCAAGGGGGCTCCGTCCAGTCGACAGACTGTGGAGCACGGGGTGTACTCATAGGGGTGTACTCA